TAGCCAACTGGTCAGCCTCCCACCAGTTGGGATTCTTAATAGTTTATGTTATATTTGAAATATTTGTTTACTTATTTACAGTGTCCCCAATTAGCACATTAGTGCTAAATACACCGACACTTAAATAAAGTGATTATTATATTCGTTGTTTAGAGAAAGTACTCCTGGAAAATGGCTGACAAAATGTCCGAATGACGTTATAGTAGTAGTATTATTGGTGAATAATGTAAAATTGTATGATAGTAATGAATCTTTCTCATATTGTTTTCAGGCGACTAAATTCTAACTTCTTTCGTTCTCTCCCTGCTGGAGGATTCACCGAGCTTCCCAATTTACGCGTCCTGTGAGTATTTTATGTTTCTGGAAACACGGTTAAAAGCACTCCTATACCTTTAATACCATGTTAATCTGAAAAGGAACTGACAGTGAGGGGAGGTTATTTAAAACAAGTTATCTGATCCATATGAAATGGGAAATTTTGATTTTTTTTACAGTGATTTGGGATGGAATCTTCTACACCAAGCAAGAAGTGGAATGCTTGACGGACTAACAAGTTTAGAGGTTTTGTAAGTGCAAAGTTACAATTCTAATTTTAATTTAAAATTTCGAATTTCAAAGTTTGTACTTCACAAAAAAAAATAAGTTCAACTGACTCAAGTAATCGCGTTTTTAGGAGTCTGCGCTCGAACCAGATAGAAGGAATAGAGTATGGTGTTTTTGACAACAAGAGCAACTTGACCCATTTGTAAGTTTATTTATTTATCTTTTTTTTTTTTATTTATGCAGTGGAACCCCGGTAATCCGGTCACCAACGGGCCACAAAAATCTAGCCGTATTAAAGGGTAAAATGTATTAAAGGGGTTCTTTAAATAAGAAAATGACTGACTGAGCTTTAGTTCGGGACAGAATAAAGTGGCCGTGATAACCAGGTGGTCTTATTAACGAGGTGGAGGTAAGGGGGGATTCCAGTAGATTAATCCTGTAGAGTAGTCCTAGAAAGGAAATAGTCACACTTATTGACGAACCCTGTAAACAGAGGCCTTACTCCGGATCTTTCGACAGGCGTCTGTTCGAAGCGTTACACGTGTAGAGTTGAAAAGAACAAACAATTTAAATGTGTAATATTACTTAGAGTAATTAGTTAACAATTTACTATTAGCTTACTTGCTTTGTTGAGAAAAAGAAGATCGGCTTCGGTTGAATTGATGAGTAATCTATGAGCAAAACTCTTGTGAATGCCTTTTGAAGTTATTCCACAGTGACCAAAGGTCCCCAAAAAGAGCTAACCTTCATGGTGTTCTTTTTATTATACTGGGCATGCTGATATTGAACCATTGTTTCATGTTGTTTAGATACCTTCAGGAAAACAAGCTCACAACTTTGCCAAGTGGTTTGTTTGGAGCCCTTGCAAAACTGAAAGTGTTGTGAGTATTCAATTTAACCTATCGGTTGTACAACGCAGCAGAGTTCCGCAACAATTACAATGTGAAACTTTTATGCAGCGTACGTCAGTTAACGCCGCAGTACTTTGTCAGTTTATCTTTAAAAATATTCCAAGTTCTACCGACCCACTGGAAGTGGCGAGCTTGAGACATATTTTTGCGCGACCACATAAGCTACAGAGTTTTAATTTTAATCGTGCTTAAAATTAAGAATAAAGGCTGTCTGTCTGTCTGTCTGTCTGTCTGTCTTGAAAATAAACTGAAGGCATCATGCAGATGAGATAATGGAACTTTCTTTATATGCTTAATTTGTCTCATTTCGCCAGGGACCTAAGCAGCAACCAGTTGACGACAGTTACAAAGGGAACTTTTCAAGGTCTAGAGTCGTTAGAATATCTGTAAGTACAAATTGCAGTGTCAAGAATACTCAGGTACAGTGTTGATATCACCACGCGAACATTTCAATAAGCTTGAAAAGCAACAAATCCAGATTTTGATTTTCACCCTTTTTGATGATTCACAGGATGAAAGTCACTGCTAACATTCGAAATCAAAGTGACAAAATATGTATTATGTTACAACTAATTATAGTTTCACATTTGTAGTAGTCGCAACACATTTAGATTAGACATCTTCTACAACCAAAATTAAACATAAAGTGCTTTGAAAAACCTCTTAGGGAAAGGGCAATGAAATTGAGCCATGCCCACAAAGTGAGAGTTTTAGGGGTTCCTTTCAGAGTCTTCGACAAGCATCGGGAGGGAAGGAGATCATTTATGGCCTACAGTGATGAGACCATATTTGTGTTCAAACATTTGTCCCTTTACACGAAAGCTGATAGATAAAGAAGAGAATCGGACAAATAAACATAGAATTGCTCTTAGTTTAGGTGCTAATCACCGCTGGAGCCAATATAGAACCATTTCAGTGATTCCCAATCTGGAGGACAAAACAATGGCTGTTCTCTCCCCTGAGAGAGACAAACCTTTCAAATGCAAAACAATCTTATTGTTTTGTCCTCCAGATTGGGAATTAACTGAAAGGGGTCTATAGTGCTCTTCAATGAAGAAGCTTACACAACGAAATGTGTTGAGAGATTACTCAGATCTTGAGTACGTATGGAATTCCTGAGTAGTCTCTCTACACATTTCGTTGAATTGCTCATAGGTTTTTTTTGTGACGCTTCTTCTTCTTCTTGGTTAACTCAGGTACCTGAACAGCAACAAACTGTCTGATGTGCCGTCCGATGCTTTTAGTGAACTGAAAAACATTAAATACCTGTGAGTAACGTTTATTTTGTGGTTGGTTAATGAAATCTATTTTGTTGGGAAATGCACTACCAAGAAATATTCCCATCAGATTTGATGTATTTGCGGCTATAGGGTAAGTAAAGCTAGCAAATTTATTACGAGGCCATAATTGAAACAACAACAAAAGTTAAAAGATGCATTTCCAGAAGGTAGCATCAAGAAACATTGATTTCACAACTTGCAGAACTTGAGGATTCACTCGCTGCTGTTAATCCTGATATGAATGATTGCTGTCCCGCGAAAATGATGAACAATACTATTGTTAATCCTTATGTTCCCATGTTTAGCGATTTTTCTTTCACAGGAAACTTGACCGCTTCATCCTCTGCTGCTATGCCAAGAAATCAATCGTGGGAGTTGACTGTGAGTCTCCAGTCGATGAATTCTCAAGCTGTGACGACCTCATGAAAAATAAAACTCTCCAGATCTGTATTTGGATTCTTGGAATCCTCGCCTTCCTTGGCAACCTCTTTGTCATAATATGGCGGGCCCTCGACAAAGAAGAGAACAGGGTTCAATCGTTCTTGCTGACAAATCTGGCTGTTGCTGATCTGTTGATGGGCGTGTATTTGCTGACAATCGCAATCATGGACTTAAGATGGCAAGGGGAATACTTCATGCATGACATCGAATGGAGATCTGGTATAGGCTGTCGAATTGCTGGAGTTCTTTCGATGCTCTCCAGTGAAGTATCCGTTCTGATTCTAACCATCATAACAATGGACAGACTAATATGCATCGTCTTTCCTTTCAAGTTCAACCGCCTTACTTACAGAGCGGCCGTGTTTGCATGTATAGGAGTATGGACGTTTGGTGTAGTCATATCGGTTATTCCTATTACTGGGATTAGTTACTTTTATGGTGATGAGAGCGCTGGTAACTTCGGTTTCTACAGCCGCTCTGCCGTTTGCCTTCCGCTTCAGCTGTCTGGAGGAAGACCGGCTGGCTGGGAATATTCTGTCGCCTTTTTCGTTTGTTTAAACTTCATTTCTTTCACGTTCATTTTCGTCGCCTACATGACAATGTTCTGGACAGTAAAGCGTGCGTCCCGCGCCGCGCGATCGACAAATTTAAACAAAGAATCCGCCATGGCCAAGCGACTTGTCTTCATTGTGATGACAGACTTTTGCTGTTGGATGCCAATAATTATAATCAACATTTTATCTCTGACTGGAAATTTTGACGATCCAGACAAAATTGCCTATGTGTGGATAGCAGTGTTTGTTCTTCCGCTCAACTCTTCCCTCAATCCAATCCTGTACACGTTTTCCACCGAAAGAACTAAACGAAGCTTGGTCCGAAAGCGGAAAAACGTCAGTAGTTTGGCAATGAAGACGCTCCACAGTCGTTTGCCAGGTGAGTAGAACCAGTTCTCATCCAAACAAAGACATAGAGCAAGGTTTGGACATACTATCAAACGTTTTTTTGACAGTCCTTCCATCCCCAGTCCCGATGGCAGACAGGAAAGAAAGAACAAATATCTCGTAGAAAGAATAAATATCTCGTAGAAGGGTAAATCACGTTTGGATGAGAACCAGTTCTCATCCAAACAAAGACATAGAGCAAGGTTTGGACATACTATCAAACGTTTTTTTTTTTTGACATTCCTTCCATCCCCAGTCCCGATGGCAGACAGGGAAGAAAGAACAAATATCTCGTAGAAGGGGAAACCACGCGTAAGTGACGCCCATATAAGATAAATGTCTTTACAGTTTGGATTCTTAAGTAAAACTCCATTAAGAGGGTGCTTTCCATGATCGGGTGTCCTTTCGTGTTGCGTACTTCGTATTATTACCAAAAACATTATTTGTATTTGATTAATTTATCTTTCCTGGTCGCATGCTATGACACACATCCGGGTGCTGAACTGTAGCTGAGGACCCACCTTTTCAAGTTCTTTAGAAAACATTGAGGGATGCCTTACTTTTCAAGCGCAGTTAGTTGTTTAAGGCTAGTTGTTGCGTAGTAGTTAGATGCGCTCGTACAGACACCATTGGACAGTTGGTTTTTCTGCGCGGGTGTCGTAGCGTCCATTGTCGTACAAAAAGGGCGATAGCAGTGCTTGTCGTGAGCAGGCTGAACGATGTGACGCGGTAACTGCGTGTGATCTCGACCAAGTCGAGTTGGTAGACGATTTGGGGGAATGCTTGGAGTTTTCGTAACCACAAGGGCCTGGTTTCACTTGGGTTTCCCTGCCACGCGAGTAAGCACCATGACCTACTCAGTTTTGACACAACCACCGTCTCGGAATCCTCGCAGTTGGGATGACAGTCCACTTTGGTTCGGGTGCAACACAACTGATCTTGATTCTTGACTGTGATGACGGCCGTTTCAGTGGTTTGAAGGCCTGCGGTTCGAAATGACCGGGTTTACTTTTGCGCTTGTGTCCACTTCCGCGTGGTTAGGTGCAAGCTGTTTGTAACCGTGCTCGTGTCAGTCCGGGCTCAGTCAAACTGAAGAGAAAGAGAAAGACGACAGATCAAAAGCAACAATCCTTACGTCAAAGCCATCCATGACAGCATTCAATCAGGTGTCGCTAAAGCCGTCAAACCAACCTGCCATGATCGATAGCAAGCGTCATTCTTCATCTTCTTACTTTCGACTTTCTCTAAAAGACGACTACAAACATCTCTGGACGTCTTCGTACATTCAAGAAGCCAGAAAGAGGGGGATGGGGGTACCCCTCTTTCTTTCCCTCATAAAAGCCCGCTTCGGTCAACTTCGTTGTTCGAGCAATTGCACTCCCACAGTGAAAGGGACACCTATCGGAGTTAGCGAGAAAAGCACAAAGCCAAGATCCACGCCAAGCAACACCAGTACTCAAACGCAACCGCGAGCGGATCAACGCTTAGAAATACGCTCCAACTGATTAGCTCCAAGTGGTCTGATTTTTTTAAATTATTATCAGGTCTTGGGTATGAAAAACATCATTGGCAAAATAGAGTTCATGCAGCGGTGCTGCCATCCGAAGCCCATGTTTCTTCTTCATCATCATGTGCCTTGTTACACGTATGTAGATGTGTCAAAGTATTAGTAAAATTAGAAAAAATATAATCAATATACATGCCATTGAATTCTTTCACACAAAAAAACTTGCAGTTCGTTTGTAACGTACAGTTCGCAGGCTTGCCAGAGTATATCCAAAGCAGACGTGGCTGAACAACAACTCATTTGTCAGCAGCGGGTAACGCCTGCCAACCTCCACAAAGAGTAGAGGAAAGTCAAATACGAATCCATTACGACCTAGCAGTACTAGAATTACTGCTAGGTCACTGTTATCTTTGCTGAGCAAATATGTTGGTCCCTTTTAAAGAAGACATGACATTTTTTTCTGAAGTTCTGCATCAAATGATATTTTTCACAGCAACACTGAGGCATACATGTTATAACATACATGTAGTATATCTTACAGACTTTAGGTGACCAAATTTAAGAGCTGTCATAGGTTTCTCTTTAATTTCACATTGCAGTGTCAACAAACCCGGCCTAGCAATTTATAAAATAGGGACGTCGGACCACTCGGGTCCCGCCCACCTTCCCGCTTGTAAAACCCTTAGCTTTATTTCAAATAAACAAATGTATTTTACCGCTAATAGTCTCTGTTGTTGCCGTTGTCATGGTAATTCCCTGATGCGATGACTTCACCCCCTTTTGAAACTTAAATTCCAGCCCACCAAGGAAAAAAGTGATTAGTTTTTTCAATTCAACCAATACGAGCGCGTATAACTACCTACTGTACTTGGGGCCAATATCTTTTACCATTTTCACTGAAGGGACTGTATGGGTTTGAGTTGTTTTCTGGAATTTCTTCAGGTCGAAGGCAAACAGTTGATTGGCTTAAAACATCTGATAATATCACCTTGGTCACCAACGTCGTCCCTGGCTCTGGTGATTCCATTCCACTTCCGTCACCGAGACCTGAAGCGGGAACAAAGGAACAAGACAGTAAGGAAGTACACATAGTACATGCTAAACTCAAGCTTATTGAAGACGCTAACATTCTGCAAGACGATACTGCAGGAAAAAGTTCGACAGTAAGTGCTAAGACCAAGTTGTTTCTATACGGGGTTCTACTTGGAACAGACATAGTTCCCATATTGTCTTAACTCCCATCATTAGATTGGGTGGAGTAGATGGTTCTTGGTTTAAGACAAAAACTGGAAATGTCAGTTTTTATTAAGACAAGCACCAGTAGCAAAATTGTTGTCATGGCAACAGCACTGAGGGTGTCATTTTGTTTCTTTTGTGATGTACATTTGTGGTGCCAAGTTTCAAGAACATTGCTTCAATATTTCTTCAGATATTTATTCAGTATTTTACCATTTTTAGTTGCAAACAATATGACGTCATCACTGATCTAATTTGCATAATAGAAAAACTTCAATATCTCTAAAGCAAAAAAAGATGCTTCAAAAGGAAAAATGCCATTCTTCTGTATTTTGAAAGGCCTTTCAAGTAAGCAAAAAGTATTTTTCATGTCATATGCACTTTAAAATCCCTTATCGGTGGGTAAGGTGAAGCCTTCTATGTGTCGGATAATGAAAGCTAATTCTCCGTTGGTGCTGTTGCAGGGTTATGCTGTAGCCTGGTGCGAGCAAGAAAATTTTCTTAGTATGGTACTGCTCAAATATTTTGCCAAAGAATACAAGAAGGAGTGGTTAGCTGAGGTTGATACGGTACAAGGCATGTCTTGTGATGAAGAACCTCTCTCGAATCTACTTCATTATCGTTGGCACTCCAAAGGTGAGAAATATATTGTGTATTTAATCTCTACCTCCCCGGTCTTCAACATTCACTACTTTTATAACTGTCGGCTCCCTATTTACATATACACTTATTAGTATGAACTTAAATAAGATTTCTCTTTCGGCGGAAAAATGCCTGTTCTGCCTATGGTGTCTTTTGTACCGCAATGAAACCTTTCCACAAAGGCCACCTTGAGGACGGAGGAATCGAAAGTGGCCTTTGTAGAGGGGTGACCGTTAGTAGAAGTTTAACTGTACTCTGTACAAATGGAAAGGAGGGAACTTCAAATTCAAGCTGAATTGAAGAATTTAGTTTTGGAGTTTAAGTCCGGTAGCAAAAGGTGAAAAGATGGATATAAACAAAACAATCCCTGTGCTATTATGCATGTATTATACTTAATTCAAATTGGCGCTTAGTATTAATTGAACGAATGAACCTTTGTAACTTTATTCGATGTTCGAAGACTTGAAGACCGAAGAAGTTTGTCAAAATTTATCTCTGCAATAATCTCATGTTTGTACCTGTCGTATTTAGTGGTTATGTAAGGGACACTTTGTTCTTATTGGCTGACGTGTTGTTTCTTTGTTTTTGTTTTTGTTTTTGTTTTACAGCTCGCGACCAAATCATTGAACAAGGAAAAGTGAAGATTCGTGAATTACACTCAAACAGTCTGTAAGTGGCATTCTTAATGAGTATTAGTTGCGATTTTCAGCGCAGCGTCAGTTAAAATGGCAGTGGATCCGATGGCATTCAGGTTTTTCTTGTGATCTGGAATGTTCATGGCAAAATAAAATGCTGTAACAGGCTGTTTTATAAGATCAATTAGTCAACTACGTGTAAAGAGAACTGCAAAGAGGGCAAGTGACGTGTTAATGCGACGTTTAAGGTAAGGTGGCTGAACACAGTTTTTGATACCTGTGTTTCATTCACCTTTTTCTCTAAATCCCTTGATCTCTCGGTCACCAAAAATGGCAGCAAGCAAGTCAACGACACAAACTTTGGTTTTTTGATGGTTAAGCTGACGTATGTGCCGTTGCCATGGCAACATGAATAAAAATAAACAGACCTTTAAAATCGGTTTTGTTTATTTTTAGAAAATCTAGTCATTAGATTTTCTTTATAATTTGCATGCAACAAGCTTGTAACGATTCTCAC